GGAGATGTGAGTGAACAGTGTGAAGAGGTAAGTGTGTACACACTAGGATGGGGAGAAAGGATGCAAAAAATGGAGAAGGTAAATTGTGGGAGGAGAGAATGAGGTAAGTGTGTACACCCTAAACCCTAAACTCTCACCACTCTGCTTACTTCACTGCCGCTCCAAAGTGAGACATGCCAGCGTTTTGCAGCGTCTTCATGCCTTTACCACTCTCTAACCTCTTGTACCAATCTACATGGATCCGTACGCTATCACACATACCCGCTTTGTGATCTTTGAGGCATCTCGAGACTACTTCTGTGTCACGCATGCTTTCCTGTCTCTTTATTTATCGTGTCTCACCCCGTTCTCCGTCTCTTTATTTATCGTGTCTCACCCCATTCTCTGTCTCTTTATTTATCATGTCTCACCCCATTCTCCATCTCTTTTTTTGTCAAGCCTTACCCCTCTCTGCTGTGCTGCGACCTATGCTGCAACCCTTTTCAGGCGCCTCACCAGCGGTATTCCTCCCTTCATCTGTCCTCTGTACTCCGTCCCCACTAATTGCCCCATCCCGCACCCTTTGTGCTGTGCTGTCATCCTATGTGTGCATCCACATCCTTCCCAGCCGTATCCACCCCTTGGCCCATTCTCACCGTCTATTTCTTTGACCCCCAATTGCTGTGTGTTGTCCTGTGCTGCAACTCTCGCAGAATTCTGCGGTACAACTGTTGAGATACTAGCACAAGTGGTAGTTAGGTTTAGGGCCTAGGCTTAGTAGCCTAGGCCAAGGGGGAGTCGAGTAGATTTGTGCCAAGGAGAGAGGAGAAAATGTTGGTTTCACTATGGAGAGGGTCACAACATATAGGGCAGGAAAGGGGGGTACACCACCAAGCAGGATATCAAGATAACTACGCTAACGCTAGACCTACATGCAGTTATAACAACATAATTATGACAACAACGCCATACAGGGCTCCATCCCGGCATCCTTCACCATGCTCACCTCGCTCGCCCGCCTGTAAGAGGCAAGCGGACACGTGTAGGGCCGTGGGAGGGAGGAGGCGGGAAGGGAGGGAAGGAAGGAGGGAGGGAGGGATTGGGGCAGTGCAGCATGGGTCATTGGGCAGCACGGCATTGGCCAACGCAGCATTGGTTGCAGTGCTGCATTGAGCAACACGACAGTGGGCAACGCAGCAATGGGAAGCACATCATGGGGCAGAGCAGCATGGGGCAGCACAGTATTTGGCAGTCCAGTGTTGGGCCATGCACCATCCAGCTCTCTGGTATCATTCCACCTGGCATAACCGCCCTCAAGGCCCTCCAAGCCCTGTAAGTGTTCCTTCAACCAGCTGTCTGGTGCCATTTTACCTCACATAAGCTCCCTCACGGCCATTGGCCACCAAGCAACCATTGATCACCGAGCAACCCATGTCTCCCTCCCATGCCATGTCTCACTCCCATGCTGTCACCATACCCCCCACGTATCATGCCAACGTCCCGGTCACTCCCATCTCCCCATGGCCCGCATGTCCCCCGTCACAGCGGTCTCCTCAACAACCAGCTGTCTGGTGCCATTCCCCTCGGCATAGGCGCCCTCACATCCCTTACGTATCTGTGAGTGTGAGTGTCATTTGCAAAAAAGCAGCCATATAGACGACCAAGCAACATAGGCAGTGTCTCTCATGCTTGGAAGGGCAGCAGCGATAGGCAACCTGAGAAAGTGCTTGAGCTGGAAAGAACGGAAGAAAAAAACGAAGTTAGCTAAAACAAATTCGATGGCAAGAATTGCTTCACTAAAAACAATCACGGTGCAACTCGTAAAGGGATTTGGGGACTCAATTCGAGCTCCAAACTTCTCCCAGAGGTATGACGATCTCAAGCGTCTTCATCGCGACCATTAAAAAGCCATGCATCGTGCACACCAATGACTTTTGCAAGTTACGAGTGCATCTTCATGCAATAGAATTGTTACCCATATAAGAAACACGTGAACTGAAACAATGGGCCTGCAATGCCTGACTGCCGTGTATTAATCTTCTTGCGGGACGATGGAAGTGGCGGAGCACGATATGGTGGCAAAATCATGTTGCCGTCGCTTGCGCTGTATTGGCAAAGGCCGTTGATACGAGCGTGTTTGTTTTGAAAGCGCTAAAGAGGACATAGCGCGAACGGCAGCCTCCACTGCCGCAGCGGACGACAAAAGGTGAAACGAGCTAGGCAGGGAAGGTGGCGCATTGGTATGCTTGGAAAACGGGTACAAGATGCTCTCTTGAGTTCTCTGGAATTTCCAATATCACTTCAACAATTTTCACATATAGTTTTATAGGATGCATTCACAAATCGAGTCGCACTACCGATTCGCGACACTCTGAATTTCATATTGGTAACTCAACCCCTTGAAATGAACCTTGCCGTGAAATTCAGAGATTGATTGCGATGCGGGATTGGTCGACGAGTTGATCACGGGGCTGTAACTTCGTCGGCGTGTTTGGCGAAGTCGGCGAGGGGTCGGAACTTCGGTGTTCTGCGTTTCGTAATTTTCGCGAGTGGGTTTGACTTGGGCTGCGCACCTGGTCGCCCAGCTGCAGGTTGAGGCGCTTGACCAATCCGGACTGTTGGTGTGGTGGCGCTTGACTTCCGACCACTTGCACTGTATTTGGCTGCGTGCTGCTGCACTGTTACAGTTGACCTCCACCCACTTGTATTGCAGTTGGCAGCACTCAGCTGCTGCACTGTTACAAAAGGTAGCTACTGGCTCTTGCCAACAAAGAGGAGGCCTCGCGTGTGATGCGCGTGGAGCTGGGAGAGCCACTGAGATGACTTAGCGCGACCCGACCTCGCGCGACGACGACGACCAGTGCGGTGTGGAAAATACATATAAGACGATGAGCAGCAAGTGTCGTTTCTGCTGCCAGTAGTGCGTGTGACGTGGCGAGAGCTCCTCCTTCACGGGCAAGCTCGCAACTTTGCGTGACACGTCAGCATCCAACATGACTCTCGAGTCACGTCAGAAATATCGTGCACTCTAGCTCAACACCTCTCGACACCGCTGTACTGCAGAAATATATTTCTCATGGACGGGTGGAATAGTCATATCTGCTCCAAGTTCCAACTGGGCGCTCGTTTTTTTCTTCTCAGCTTCGAACCACACGAGCGAACAAATGACTGAGAAAGCAAGAATCAGGGTGCGTAACCATGTTTTCCTTGACGGCATAGTACGTTTTCGGACCGTTCGTTCGAAATGGTGGTTACTGTTGTCACCAGTGTTCGGTCAATAGTTGTCACAGAACCATGCGATGTCGCCATCGCAACATAACCAAGTGAAACTTTTGTATGAAGGGAACACAGCACCCGAACGGTTAAGATTCACAAAAAACGGACGGGTCGAATATGGCACCTTGTGGCTGGAGCGTGAAAACTTGCTGACACTGCGGCAAAATTGTTAGAGACTCTCCACAAAGTCCTTAATCAGCTCTGATACCACTTGTTAGAGACTAAGGACGGAGTCTATGAAGATTAGGGGCTGAAATATCTCAAAATCGTCAACTACAATTCTGGACAGAAAAGTCGTCGTCACAAGAAACGTCGTCAACGATTAACGCACAGTTAGAATTCTCTCAAACTCGAGTATGTTGTAGCCCTTGACTGTGGCTATCTTTCTCAATTTGAATAGTATCAAAAAATGGAGTACAACTTGAGTTATGAACTTCGGCGCACTAGGGGGTATGCTGCCATAGAAAACGTAACTCAATCACAATTATCTCACAAGTTCACACAAGAAAGTTAGAGTAGCAATAGAACCAGGTACGAGGGGATGAGGAGGACGAGAGGGAAGGTCCCAAGGGAGTCCCAACCAAGGAAACCCCATACCACACAATTCCCCTCTCTATAGGCACCCCAACTTTGACATTTGTCACTTTCCCAATTCATGCCATCCACCTCACCCAACTTGGCCACACTTGCCAACCTGGTTTGGCTTCTCCCAACCACTTGGCATCATCTACAGTGATGGTGACGAATTTCCCAACCCCCAAAAGTTTGTACCCCATATTGAGTCAACCCGCAAATTCCCATAGTCGCCGCATCTCAATCAAAACTTCGAACGATCATATCTTTCTCGTTCTTGCTCCGATCGCGGCGATTCTCGGTTCGTCGGGAAGCTCTTGAGCAGAGGAGTCACTTCAGATATCTGCTCAAGCCAAATAACATTCACACACACTCAGAAAATCCAAACAACACCACACACAAATTCTTGCGCACGCTCACACCACGCATGCAACACACGAACATATGATGGGAGGCAGACAAACGTGAATGCAAATGATAGCATCACATAACAAAAATCACGACACTTGCCTGATCGCATAACGTGACCCAGTTTCGCGCAGAACCCTAAAAAAAAAAAGTTTATCTTCACAGTTCGAGTACGTGAAGACTGTTTGGATAAACGGACGGTAACATATGGGAAATACAACCGTCCGTTATTGAACGCTGGTTTCCAAACGTGCAAGAAAAAAATACCAAAATGGTTACGCGCCCTTATAGGGGGTCAGGTAGGGTTTGTTTTCTTTTTTTTTTTTCATTTCAGTTACCCGATTTTGGTGTGAAACGAACAGAGAGTCAGTTTATAGTAAAAATGTCCCAATCCGTTTTGGGCTTGCGGCTTTAGGTACCATATTTACCCGACTAATAGCCCCCCCTAAATTATAGCCCCCCGGGTTGTTAAATGGGGGTGGGTTTAATGCTGTCTCCACTTTCGTGATAAACCCGCCTTTTTTTAACGAATCCAGATTAACCCCCCCCCCCCCCCCCCTCCACCCCCCCCCCCCCTCCCCCTCCTCCCTGTTTTACCCCCACCCCCATCTTTTCACCCTTGGATCAAAGTTCAGAAATCACTATATACCATAGCAGTAGGACAGCTTCACATTAGCTTAACTTCATCCTACATTCCTACATCATGCATACCATCCTACACTGGATTAATGCGCGCTCATGCCTCAATCCTACGGCACATTATAATGCCGTTCTCCGTTCTACTTTACCATCTAAGAGAAAGGGTCACAAGCGGTCTCAGCTCTACTACAGGCAGGGGTCTGCTAAGGAGAGAAGTCATCTTCCTCACTCATGTACCAGACTTCCTCATCCCCCTCTTCACCCTCCAAGTTAGCCGGTGCTGCTTCTTCTATCACCTCCTCATCAGCCTCTGCCTCATTCCCTGCCTCTGCAAGGGGACGTGCCATGGTCTCATTGTCCCCTGCCCACCCTGTAGGTTCCCCCTCATCAGCGGGCCGATCCGGACGCGGAGCTACGGGCGGAGCCGGACGCGGAGCTATGGGCGGAGCTGGACGCGGAGCTACGGGCGGAGCCGGACGCGGAGCTACGGGCGGAGCCGGACGCGGAGCTACGGGCGGAGCCCGATGCGGAGCTACCGGCTGAGCCCGACGCGGAGCTACGGGCGGAGCCCGACGAGGTGCTACGGGCGGAGCCCGACGCGGAGCTACGGGCGGAGCCCGATGCGGAGCTACGGGCTGAGCCCGGCGCGGAGCTACGGGCCGAGCCCGGCGCGGAGCTACGGGTCGAACCTGACGCGGAGCTACGGGCGGAGCCCGACGCGGAGCTACTGGCCGAGCTCGATGCGGAGCTACGGGCCGAGCCCGACGCGGAGCTACGGGCCGAGCCCGACGCGGAGCTACGCGCTGAGCCCGACGCGGAGCTACGGGCCGAGCCCGACGTGGAGCTACGGGCCGAGCCCAGCGCGGAGCTACGGGTCGAACCCGACACGGAGCTATGGGCGGAGCCCGATGCGGAGGTATGGGCCGAGCCCGACGCGGAGCTACGGGCCGAGCCCGACGCGGAGCTACGGGCCGAGCCCGACGCGAAGCTACGGGCCGAGCCCGACGCGGAGCTACGGGCCGAGCCCGACGCGGAGCTACGGGCCGAGCCCGACGCGGAGCTACGGGCCGAGCCCGACGCGGAGCTACGGGCCGAGCCCGACGCGGAGCTACGGGCCGAGCCCGGCGCGGAGCTACGGGTCGAACCGGACGCGGGGAGCTACGGGCGGAGCCCGACGCGGAGCTACCGGCCGAGCCCGACGCGGAGCTACGGGCCGAGCCCGACGTGGAGCAACGGGCCGAGCCCGACGCGGAGCTACGGGCCGAGCCCGAAGCAGAGCTACAGACCGAGCCTGACGCGGAGCTACGGGCCGAGCCCGACGCGGAGCTACGGGCCGAGCCGGACGCGGAGCTACAGACTGAGTGGGAGCGTTGTGGATATTGACAGTGACACCACCTCCATGGTTCACTTGAGACTTGCGTGCGAAGAGAACGCCTTTGCTTGTAGGAAAAGCTATACGATGCACTGGACTGAGAGTGCCATAGAAGTAAAACAACTCCTAATATAGCTATGGCACTGGACGCGGAGCGATGAGCTGAGGCTTGATGTGCGGTGACTAGAAGAGTGGGAAAGACGTTGGTGAAACATTCGTGCCTAAGAGCTATGAGATCGAGAGTGCGTGAAACGAACAAAGAAGCAGACACCAACCAAAAGCTGACAACGTTGGTTGGTCGCCACGACCTGGCAACACCATCAACGGGTTTGGTTTTGGCAGGTGGCACTAGCAGCCAGGTGGCAGTTTACCGACTATCAATGACCAATGTCATTTTCCTCGCCTTGTCGTGCACAACTTCGCTTTCAGAAATTTCGGAACCTTATCATAACACTTGGAGTCTGCATTCGACTTAAAAAAAAAAAAATGCTCAGATTAAACCCCGGGTCTAATGCATTTTCACCCAGTAGATGCACCCCCTTTTTTTTGGGGTAGGATAAAACCCAGGGGTGTATTAGTCGGGTAAATACGGTACGTGCCACATTCGTGTGGAAAATCCAAACTTGTCAAGCTATGACTAGAGTAACGGACAGCTTTCGGCCAACCAGCTCTGCCAAGCCCATGATTTTTTTCGCCCTCTCGCCAAATCGATTCGTACTATTGATTGGCGAGAGTGTAGTAACCTGATTCAGGCATAGGGTGGTTGTGTGCACCAAGTGATCTGCGTCAGCACGGGATATCACCCATATTGTATATAGTACAGCTTTCGGTACAGTCATGTGAAGTAATTCGAAAAGGTTTGGATTCATAAAATTTTCGAAAATAAACCCTACCTGACCCACCCTTAGGCGTTGTTTGGGAGGCACTCCAATCTAAGGCCCAATTCAATAGCCACCTTCCATAATAGAATAACAATTGGAAGCTTTTAAATACAGTTTTTAATCTCCCTATCGAGGGTGTCAGAATTATATTATAACTGCATGTAGTTCTAGCCTTAGTGTAGTTATCCTAACTTCCTGCTTGGTGGTGTACCCACCTTTCCTACCCTATTTGCACTCCACTTTCTATAGTGAAAACCCCTTTTCTCCTTCTCAACTCTCTCGATAGTCAATGCCTAGCTTAACACCCTAGGCATGGCTCCTAAGCTTCCTCCTCCCTCCTATGCTACTGATTTTAACATGGTATCTAGAGCAGGTCCGTCCTCCGGACCTCCGTTTCGTTTTCGTAACATGGGCCCACCACTTGCCAACGTGCAGCTCGCCCCGTCGCCCTTGCTGTCCTGGTCGCGCCACGTTGGTCACGTCGCGACCAACGGGAAGCAGGCCGTGACGACCAGCGCGGCGCGATTTGCGCTGGTCGTCAGCATCCCAGTTCGCTGCCCCGTCGCGCCTCGGCACGTCGCCACCAACGCGGAGCGCGAGCGCCAGCGACCAGCGCCACCGCGGACGCCAACGACGAGCGCCAGCGCAAACTGCGACGACCAGCGCCAGCGCGTGCGCCAACCCCCAGCACCAGCGCCCAGCGCGGACGCCATCGCCCCGCGCTTTGAGCCCCCCCCCGCACAGCCCATCTCACCGCAGCATCCTACCCCACCCACCCTCCCATCGTCCCCACTGCTGCAGCCGTGTTTGCTCCTGCTGTTGGGAGGCAAAGGGGGGGGGGGTGTTGGGGGTGGTGGCTGTGAGTGGATGACGGGGGTGGATGAAGCAGAGGCTGTCAGATTTATATGACATAGCTACTGTAGGCTATAGTGGGGTAGCACATATGGGGTACAGTTTTTCTAGGGTTTGCTTTTTGTACCCAACTTTCACTTAGTCATTTCATTCCTGTTTTCTTAATTCACATGGTATAGAGCGGGTTCCTACATGGGACCGTTCCTTCCTAAGGGCCCACCATAACGATTTTTTTTTTTAGCTGCCCGACGCGCATTGCGCCCCTGCCCTAAATTTTTTTTTTTAGTGGCCCCCCCCCTAGCGGCCCCTACGCGACCCCTACGCGGCCCCTACCCGGCCCCTACGTCGCCCCTGACGCGGCCCCTACGCGGCCCCTGACGCGGCCCCAACGCGGCCCCTGAAGCGGCCCCAACGCGGCCCCTGACGCGGCCCCAACGCGGCCCGTGACGCGGCCCCTACGCAGCCCCTGACGCGGCCCCTGCCGCGGCCCCTGACGCGGCCCCTACGCGGCCCCTACGCTGCCCCTGAGGCGGCCCCTGACGCGGCCCCTGACGCGGCCCCTCCGCCGCCACTACCGCGGCCCCTACGCCGCCCCTGACGCCGCCCCTGACGCGGCCCCTGACGCGGCCCCTGACGCGGCCCCTGACGCGGCCCCTACGCCGCCCCTGACGCGGCCCCTGACGCGGCCCCTGACGCGGCCCCTGACGCGGCCCCTGACGCGGCCCCTGCCGCGGCCCCTGCCGCGGCCCCTGCCGCGGCCCCTGACGCGGCCCCTGACGCGGCCCCTGCCGCGGCCCCTGCCGCGGCCCCTGACGCGGCCCCTGACGCGGCCCCTTCGCCGCCCCTGCCGCGGCCCCTACGCCGCCCCTGACGCGGCCCTCTCCTGCACCTGACGCGGCCCCTAGCGGCCGGCCGCTGCCGTCCCTGAGGCAGCAGCCGCCGCCGTCTCTGCAGCAGCAGTCGCAGCCGAGCCGCCGAGCCGCCGAGCCGCCCAGCAGCCGAGCCGCCCAGCCGCCGAACCGCCCAGCACCCGAGCCGCCCAGCAGCCGAGCCACCGAGCCGCCCAGCAGCCGAGCCGCCGAGCCGCCCAGCAACCGAGCCGCCGAGCCGCCCAGCAGCCGAGCCGCCGAGCCGCCTTGCAGCCGAGCCACCCGAGCCGCCCTGTCCGGTAAGAGCAGCGCCCCTTTCACAGCACTGCCCTCACCCTACTGTTTGCGCTGCTAGTCTACTACTGTCATGGCTACCCCTAGTGTCCTCGCTTTTGACGCTGAGGGTCGGGCCATTGACTTTGATGTCTGGATAGATGACCTGCAGCTTTTCTTACAGTGCGACAGGGCAGACGGCCTCTCCCTCTTTGACCTCACTTCTGGTGCCTCTCCTGCCCCCGCTGCTGATGCTGACGCCACTGTTCGCTCACAGTGGGCCACGCGCGATGCTGCTGCACGTCTTGCTGTGCGTCGCCACCTGCCTACCTCTGAGCGTGCGCACTTTAGCCAGTACAAGAGTGCTCAGACCTTGTACGACGCTGTAGTTGCGCGCTACTCCTCCCCTGCCACTGCTGCACTGAGCCGCCTCATGCTACCGTTCCTCTTCCCTGACCTTGCTGCCTTTCCCACAGTCGCTTACCTCATTACGCACCTCCGCACTAGTGACACTCGCTACCGCGCTGCGCTTCCTGCTGAGTTCTGCGCCAAGAACCCCCCCCCCATGTACATCACCCTCTACTACATAGTCACCCGGCTCCCTGACTCCCTTCGCGTAGTCAGGGACCACTTCCTCTCAGTTTGCCCCACCACTCTCACCGTTGACCTCCTCGAGAAGTCCCTCCTAGCAGCAGAGAAGAGCATAGTCGCTGTAGGAGCCTCTCGTGGTGACCCTCGCACCCCCATCTTTGAGGGGTGTTCCCCCTCCCCCCTTTTGCCCTCTGTTGCCTCTGCTGCTGCGGCCGACCTCGTTGGGCTTGAGTCGGTCGGTGCGGCGTCTACCCCTAGCGGGAGACGTCGCCCTGGCAAGGGCAAGGGGGGCAGGGGCACTGGAGGAGCTAGTGGGGGCGGTGGAGGCGGAGGTGGAGGCGGTGGAGGGGGTGGGGGTGGAGGTGGGGGTGGTGGCGGGGGTGGAGGTGTCGGTGGCGGCAGTGGAGGCGGAGGCGGAGGCGGCGGTGGCGGTGGGAGCGGAGGTGGCGGCGGTGGAGGAGGAGGCGGCGGAGGAGGTGGAGCTGGTCGGGGTGGCGCTGCGCAGAGGGTCGGCTCCGGTGGTGGTCAGCGCCAGCAGCAGCAGCAGCAGCGCACTCGTGACATCCCCTCCCCTCAGCAGCTCCGTGAGTGGTACACTGCACGCCAGAGGGGTGGGGGTACTGGTCCGTGCACCTACGTCCTCCGCACCGGCGACCGCGCGGGTGACCAGTGCGGGGGTGCGCACTCCACCCAGCGCTGCTTTGGCCGCCTGACGGACGCTTGGCGTCACCAGTTCCCTGAGGCCACTGAGATCCCCCGCTGGGGTGAGCTGTCTAGGGCGGGTGTAGCTGTCTTTGACCTTGACTTTGATGCTATTCTTGCTGCCATGTATACTGTGACTATTAGTGATGAGGGTGACTGTTACCGGTGTTTTCCGCCCGACCCGGGCATTGAGACTGCTGCTCTAGGTACTGGTGAGGCTGCTGCTCTAGGTGCTAGCGAGGCTGCTGCTCTAGGTGCGTCTGCTCCCTCAGGTGCTGGTGAGTCTGCTCTCTCAGGTTCTGCGTCGGCTTCGGCCTCCCACACCTTCACCCTTGACTCGGGGGCTTCTCGCTCCTTCTTTCGAGACCGCACCACACTCACGCCGCTTGGCCGGCCAGTTGCAGTCTCTCTGGCAGACCCCTCTGGGGGTCCTGTCCTTGCTCACTTCTCCACTGTCCTCCCGTGTCCCGTTCTCTACGAACTTGGTGAGTGGTGCTGACCTACAGGATGCGGGGGTTCACCAGTTCACTCCTGCGAGTCAGCGGGTGACCCACTGCACGGACGCTCGGACAGGCCGACACCTGGCCACGTTTACACGCCGGCCGGGGTCGAGCCTGTACACACTGACCACTGCGTCTCCTCCGGTCACTGCGTCTGGTCAGGTAGCTGCGTCAGGTCAGGTGTTTGCTGCAGCGTCCAGGTCTGGTCCTGAGTCTGCCCCCTGTTCGTGTCGCCTCCTGTCTCACGACACTCTCCTCTGGCACCACCGCCTTGGTCACCCCTCCCTGCTTCGTCTCCGAGGCATGGCCTCCCGTGTCCTTGTCTCTGGTCTTCCCCGGTCCCTCCCTCCCCTTCCTCCGGGGCCTGGCCCTACCTGCGTCCCCTGTGTCGAGGGGCGGCAGCGGGCTGCCCCTCACTCCTCCCAGTTTCCTC